AGTGAGCAGTCAACATATCTTTTGACCATATCTATAAATTACATTGCTGACAGACAAAACAACATAGAACTGGCTTCAATGTCAGAGATTAACTGTAGCAAAATGGAAGGAAAGAATATTAGCAAATAAAGAATTTCTATACCTGTTAAATATACTCAGCTGATAAAATTGAATGCATCAAAGAAAAGCATCTTCACAGACTACGAATGCAAAATAGCCATAGAGTTCAAGATCAATGTGGAATAGCATTAAAAGGGAAAAGTTTTATCTCAAAAAAATAAGCATTAAAAAGGAAAAGTTCCAAAAAGATCAATATGCAAAACCAAGTCCATGTGTTGAGTGCACAAGAAAAAGTAGCCAAATCTTCTCAGATTATCTAAGCAATATAAGGCAAAACTTAAATTGCAAACTGTTGTAGAACTGAATCAAAAGCAGAGTAATAAGCAAATAACTTACTTCTCCATATATTGGTAAGACATCAAAATTCTTTTGGTATCGCAACCAATTCTTAAACAAAAAAGAAAACTGCAAAACTCTCTCTTTCATCTGATAGCACGGGCTTTTGACCTCAATACCACACTTTATCCACAACATAAGCTCTAGAGACACTTAATTATCTTCATAGCAGACATGATCTCACCTAAACCAATCATCAGTGCTTCAATTATCAAATATGGTTGTACTTCCAACGGTATTGATTAGTTTGCATTAAAAAATATTACCAATTCACCATGTAATATAACTGGAACGTCCAGTGGGCATCCATCTTGCAGTAAAAGCTATTGTTTCCCAAAAGCAAAATGTCTTCTATTAATCATCTTCCAGCAATCAGTACGAGGTTTACATAACCATCCAGCACCATCAGCTTTTTTAATTAAAATTTAACCATAACTCTACCATCTCTCAATAGTTACAAGAATCAGTTCATGCATCCATTGGCATTGCAGAATCTAAGGACAGTGATGGCACCACTTCCAACTGATAGAGATAGCAAGATATATCTTCTGTTAACCTAGGTTTCAGGGCGTAGACTTCCAGTAAGATGTGCATATTCAATCCATAAATTATCAGGTTAGTTTCACATAGTGGACTTCAAAATACAGTACTCTTAGTGGCTAGCAGGAGAGATGCAAGAATGGAATCACTAACAGCTATAGACTCAGTTTAATCAGATTTTGTCTTTCAGGTTATGAAGGATTGATCACCCCACAGCAAAATCTTCTCGTCAACTCTGATGTGATAAAGCTACCATTCCTCTGCTCCAAGGAAGTCAGAACAGGAATGCTGCTGATTCTCCGTACCATGCAGAAACCAGTTCCACTCAGAATAGAGTTGAATCTTGAAAAGAAAAGGGCAGTTCCTGGTCCCGAGGGCTCCATCAAAGAGCAGTACGTGAAGGTACACTAAATCAATTTTCCCAAAAGGTATGACCCTCTATTCATCAAAATATGTGGGAGTAAGATGACTTGGCTGCACTGGAACTAATGGCAAAATCTTCTTGAAGCAATCGGAAAGTACTAACATTCTTTTAGGATGTTAAGATTCCCAACCCAACAAATCAACATACAAGTTCAAGAAAAATAGAAATCAGAATGCATAAAATCAAAGGAGGAATCACGGGCATCATGAAGCTGAGATGACACAAGAATCCTGGTATCAAGCAAAAGCAAACAACTGCTCCCTGAGAAAGTCTGCATCACCTTGTATGATGTCTACAAACTTGCTCCAAAACGATGCAGTATTCTTGCAGGCTCACTATCACTAAAGCAGTCAGAGACTGACATGTTGAAGAACAGACTGAGAGAGAGTTAAGCCAACAAGACTTTGCAACACAGAAGCCTTGTCGAATGCTTCAATACTACAAAGACCAGATGATACATTGGCAGCACAAAAAAACTGAGGCCTCTGGATCATCTGAGAAGGACATAGCTACAAATTATCCACAGTATGATAGGGATTAAGGCCTAGCTTAAATTTTTTCTCAATCCAATACCACAAAATCTTCATAACACATTCCAGCCTCAGTAAGCCGAGCAGAAAGAACATTTTTTTTTTCCTGTCGACTGATCAATTAATTTAGATCCTTCCCTTCCTTAATATAACACTTTTATGGATACAAGCAGTGAAAACTCAATTCAGGGGAGAAATAAATACATCTGAAAATGTGCTACATCATGTGACCTGCAGGTTAGGCAGCTCAGTATTACAGGATGGTCTAATTATGTCTAGCAACTCCCACCACTGGAATTATAACTCTTTCTCCCAGATGGCAGATGTAACAAAATCAGATAACTAACTTCAGCTGCTGTCCATAAACGACATTCCATATACCATTCTGTTATATGAATTCTTCCCAGGCTTGAATATATTTAGACCATTAGGAATAATCTATTAACAGAAGAAGCATTGAATTTCAGCAACTTGAGCAATCACTTTCACCAAAAAACGCTCTAAAAGAGTCCATTTACGGCATCTCAACATATCATAACCAGCTTTCCAGTAAAACAAACAAAGACAGGCAAACAAAAATCAACATCCTGAACAGAATAAAAAATATATGTTAAAAGAACTAAAACCAAAAGAATTCACATGTATGGGGATGAGAATGTCATTGGCTCAAAATATTATTATTCAGTTGAACCCAAACAAAGAATAAAATGAAATAATCTCACAATGTTTTTTCGCTTTCCTACTATGCCTAAGATGAATACTTACCCTGAACATGTTGCACAATGAGATGGATGAACTTCATTTTTCTAACACATACTATGATAACTTATATAAAAAGGAAAATAGGGGCTATATAAGCCCAGAATCTTGCTTATATTACAAAATCTCAACCACCCACATCAAGCATTTGGCTCTCGCAAAACTACTCAGCTAACTTGATGCGGATTAAGTAAAGATGCCAAAATATTCTTCAATTTTCTCGAGAACGAGTAAATGATAAACTAGCGCGAAAGCAAAATCATGTAACAGAAGTCAAAAATGAAAAGGAAAATTAGGGTGAAAAAGCCGGCGGCTACCTGAGATTCCACAATTTTGCCAAAACGGCTAAAAGCATGCTCAAGCTGTCTCTCTGTAACGTCCCATGACAAGCCACCCACAAAAATTCTGTTCTCTTCCTTTCCTGCCATCTCCGCTCTCTGTCTCTGTCTCTGTCTCTGTCTTTACGTATCTTACTCACATAAATTTCCTACACCAAACAAACACGAGCAGCAAAAAAATATGCATTCATTAAAGCACCTAATAAAACTTGACGAAAAAAAAAAAACTCAAAACCCTAATATCCCGTTTGCTTCCTTAGAAAATCGTTCCCTCGAAAACAATGCCTAGCTAGGTTTATGATAAGATTACTTTCAAAAAAATTGTTTATCATAAAATTGAAACAAAGGACTTAACAGGAAGGAAGAGCAAGATGATACCTTCTCTCTACCTGGATACGGAGAAAGATAAACTGTGAATTTTAAGTGAATATATGAAACCCTAGACAATTCCTTCAAGAACTGAATGGTTGTACCTTTTGGCAAAAGCGTCAACAGGTACAACTGTTTTATGCAGAGACCGAGAACCACTCGCTCCGACCCATTCTGTTTTGGGCTTTTGACCCGGTTCAATAAAATATTACCCCAAAAGAGGGATCAATTTCACCCTAAAGATGGAAATATATATATATATATTAAATAGAAGGCAAAAACAGTCTGGTTGCTGCCGCCATTGTAGGGAAAGCGAAAGAAGCAGAGCGAGCCACAGAGATAGTGTTTGTGTGGGAGAAATGAGGTTACTTACTCACAATATGCTATCTTCCAACATCAAGGGAGTGACCTGCGGGTTTCCTCTCCGTATCGAAGTGGAGCAAGTTGTGGAGAAGGAAGTTGATTTCAACGCCGATTTTCTTAGGAACATGTTCTCCAAAATCGATTGGAAAGCGCTGGTTGGGGCTGCGCGGACTATGGGTTATGGGGAGCTTCCCGATGAGGCGCCCGAGTCTTCGGCACTCGAATCATACGAATTGTTGAGGAAGTTCCATCATGCGCTTCTGGAGCTTCACCTGGTGGAGGGTGCTCTAGTTTGTCCGGAAACTGGAAGAAAATTTCCTGTAAGCAAAGGGATTCCCAATATGCTGCTTCATGAAGACGAGGTTTGAGAAAGATAATTCCTTCCAATATATGAAATTGTTAAGTACAATTAAATCTCATTAAGATAATCGTCTGTTATATTTTCTGTTAATTATCGAATTTTAACTTTATTTTAAACGAGTGTTTTGAGCAATCCTTGATTCTTATTTCTTGTATGTAAAAGAAACAATTTTCTACTCTTAAACAGTTCACTGTATTCAAAATCACCTGACAAGCTTGAAGCCGAGACCACTGAGTGTCTAGAAACCCATCCAAGAGTTATTTGCGATTGTCTCGGATTTTACAAGAGTTTATGCTTAGCCTTTGAAACCAAAGAAGAATCTAGACTTCAAAGTTTGACAGTAAATATCCCACAGGAAAAAAGAGAGAGAAGATAGAATTATCACTTGTGCAATATAACTTTACACAAGGAGATACTTAGCTTGTAGTTTTGAATTATTCACTAACCCATTGATGGAGCAATACAATGAATTGCACTATATATTTGACAACATCAAATAATTACATCACATGATATACATAATTTACTCTTTCAAAAAAAAAAAATGATATACAAAATTTACATGACTCTTTATTGTTATTGTATCAATAGAAGATTGAAGCATGTATACAGTTGGTTACATAGTCAATTATTCCGGTAGGAGAGGCAGTCGGCTAACACTAGTTCCTCCGTCACCACCAGTTAGCGAGTTTAAGCTGGTTGCTTTTTCCGAAGTTGGATTAGATTTGGAGGATTTGGAGGATGATTTCTTGTTTAATTTCTGGGGGAGAATCTGCAGCCTTGGGTTAAGTTCAGTACCCGAATTTTCTGCAGACAATTGGTAGCTTTCAACGAGTTCAAGCTGACGCGCAATTATTTCAGAACATCTAGGAAGAAGCTCAACTGGTTCGCCACCAGGAATAACAATATATTCAATTGCAAGTCGAACTTCCTGTTACAAACAAAGATGCCAATAAACTTGGTGTAATGAGAACGAAAAAAGTTCTACTACCATGGCAACAAAAAGTTTACCAAATTCAAGCAAAACTGGGAAATGAAAAAGAGAAAAATAATGATAATACCTCCAAGGCATCAATTTCTTCAAGGGTTGGTTTTCTTTTTGGTGCATCATCTTCAATTTCAATATCGAAGGAGATTTTGTGTGACCGTCTAGGCAACGAGCCAAATGATTCCATTCCAAGAATCATACGAACTGCCTTCACCATTTGAGCCATGGTATTCCACTGCAATCCCATTAAAGAAAAAGCGAAATGAGGTTTGATTATTTACAGGCAGGAAAAGTTAATCTCATGCTTCATGACCTTTTCCATAGAATTTGCCATACCCCTGGGGGATCGTGGGCCTATGCTATCAATGTCATCATCCACGATTTTGCCCCCAAAGCTTGCAAAAGAAAAACTTGGAATGCTATATTGTCTACAGATATTGCTCTCTATAGAAAGAACAGATACCTTAATAACAAATATGGGTAACTTGTAGAATTTAGCTACACCCTGAATCCATGGGTTCTGCTCCAATTCAGAACTTGAAGCTAGAATTGCATCAGCCATTCCAATATCATCAGTTACGTCTATTTCATTTTCGAGCCCCATTACATCTGCTACTTGTAAGAGATCAGCTTCAAGAATCTAAAACCATATCCAAAGTCAAGAGAATGGCATCAATATCATCATTCTCAATTTTAAAACTTCCTCTAGGTCATTCAAGGAAATATTCTATTTCCTATTGCTCAAAAAAGGTATACTAAATTTATGAGTGCGAAAACCTATAATATAGTATTCACATATAATTCAATAAGTTGTAACTCATCTGTCATTCAACAGTCAATATTGTATAAAACGAAAAAAGTAATGGAAAACGGAAATGTTTTCTCATTCACCTTGTAAGTATATACACAAATGGGTGAGCTCCTCTTGTTTACAGGTCTGCCAGTGTTCTGTTTTTTAAATGGAAGGGCAGCTGCATAATCTTCATCCTCCTTGTCAGACTCTAGTTCAGCATTACTAATTTTCTGAACAGATAACTCAGGCTCTTCTAGATGGCTCTTTGAAGGAACTGATGACCTAAGTGAATTACCATCTTCAGCATGCATTTGTCGTACCTCAAACAAAGGAGATTTCCCTATCACAAAAAAGAATAATGCACATTAAGAACCTATTGACCTCGTTTCAAAACAAATTTCCAACATAGATGCAGGTTCCAAGGACAAAAATAGAACACACCAGCCAGTATAGCATCAACTGTTGCATCGAGTCTGTGATGCACTCGGCATTCAGTTCTAGATATCATCTCAACAGCACAGGTAAATGTTGGAGGCCCCTTCCTTTCAAGAATTGTCTTTTGCACTTTCCTTTTCCTGGCTTCCTCATCTCCAAGAGTTACACTCTGTTTTCAGATATAGGAAGTACTTCTTAGTACATTATTAGACATGACTTGACTGCACTAGTTTTACTGTTGTTGTGAAATTTATCTCATTCTGGAGATCACTAATTGAATCATAGCAACATCCAGATCAAATTTAAAAGATCTAACATAATAATAGAGCATCCTGCAAATAGTCTAACAGTATAAGCAGAAAGAAAGCACAAAAAACCAAGTTTCTTGTAACCTCAATGCCACCAACAAGAATCTGTAGTGAAGGATTCTTCATTATATTGTCTATAGTCATTCCATGAGCAGTTCCAACTAACTGGACTCCTCGTTGAGCAATCGTGCTGGCAGCTAATGCTTCAAGCTCTGTACCAATTTCATCAATTACTATGGCTTCAGGCATATGATTTTCAACTGCCTCAATCATAACCTGCATGTAAATAAAAGAAAAAAAAATTAATCAAATAGAAAAGATTTCCATCAATGAAAGTCGGATTCATTTGAAAACTCACATTATGCTGCATATTCACATTAGGAACTTGCATTCTCCTTGCACGACCAATACCTGCATGAGGGACATCTCCATCACCTCCAATCTCATTCGATGTGTCAACAATAACAACACGTTTCATGTGCTCTTCTGCCAACATCCTAGCTATTTCTCTGCAGAATTTAGAATTTTCAGATATACTAATATTCTCATGCAGAAGCAAGTAGATTTTTTTGCAAAAAAATTCATAATTGAAGAAAAAGGGTAGGTCAGAAGCTGGTAAAATTAGTTAGAGCTTTCAAAGAAGAGTACATTTGGTGCAGACAGCAAAAGATACCTGATTAAGGTTGTTTTGCCGACTCCAGGAGGACCTATGACCAAGATGGAGCCTCCTCCCCCAATTAAATCACGTATAATATCAGCACTTCCAGATACAGCTCGACCCACCCGACAAGTAAGGCCAATGATTTGCAGTTTACGGTTTCGGATGGCACTTATACGATGTAATGATCTATTAATACCCGAGCGGTTATCATCCGAAAAATCACCGACCTAAAAGTAATAATGAAATTTACATGAAAACTTCATTGTACATCTACCAACTCATAAACATCTCAACTAACACGGTTTATATTTGTATGATTATTCATATTGACCTGTTTTCTTTTTGAAGGCATGGAAACTAGAAGGAATTTAACTTTATGCCTAGATTTGAGCCCATAGTTGGGATCATCCATAACGATTCGTAGTGATGTTTCACTATGGAGAATTATAGTGAAATCCATCAACCACCAGCACATTCAATGAAATTACCAACATTGCCCAGATATCTTCTGGTAAAATAAATTACAAAACAAGCTCATTCAAGTAAACAAGCAATTAGATCTCTCTCTCTCTCCGAGCAGATTATGAAAAGAAAAAAGAATATAAAGCAACTATAGTACTTAAAACCAAAAAGAAAAGTGATCCTACTCCATTAATATTCATTAGTTACACAACCATTATGTTGAGAAAATAAATCCTCAATATAGACAATCACACAAAATAAAGAGTAAAATTAGAAAAGACACAAGAATTAACTTAGTTCGACAGAGATGTCTACGTTCAAAGGCAAGACTGAAAAAAAACTTTTCACTATGAAAATGATAATTCATTACCAATAGAGTTATAGATCCTATATAGAGAAAAATACTATAATTTTCTCCCAGAATATTTATCTGGATATGAACAGAATATTCCCCATGATATATACAGAATATTCATAATCAAGCTTCCACAACCATAATAGAATTTTCTCATGAGAGAGATGGACAAAAATGGCAACTATAGCTTCCATGATCATGCTGATGAACCATAAATAATGGGACTCTAAAAGCCTAGAATACTAGTTACCTACAATGCAAGTAAATCAAACTGCGTTCTAAATAAGAGAAAACTCTGCCTAGCTCAACTCGAACAAGACTCGTTATGAAATCCCACCTTAGATATGGCATGCGTTAAATCCTCGTGCCTCACGGGTTGATCCGAGATCATCCAATCCCCGGAAGGAAACCTGGCGAGAGGCTTCCTCCCCAAATCTATCACCACCTCAATCAACTCCCCAATCTCCTCATGCCGAACAAGCTCCCTCCTCATCCTCACAGGTAAAATCTCAAGAAACGCCTCCAGCTCCGTACAAGCCTGAGACTGCGAGGTTGAAACCGAGTTCGCAGAATCCGACGCCGACCCATTTCCCAGCTGGTACCGATCAGATGGCCGACGTACTCCGGGAGCCCCAGTTGAAGTCTTTGCGGAGGCGATCCTGGGACGCGAGCGACGTGTTCTACGAACTGACAAGGGGGAGGAAGAAATGAGTTGATGGGGGATGCGATTGGCTGCGTGCCATGAGGTGTTGATATCGATCAGTAGGAACCGTGAACTCAAAGCTCTCATGGTTAATAAGCTGGTTTTGGAAGAAACCCAGAACCGAAAAGTAACTGGGTCGTTTTGATTTTGAGTTGTGGTGGATGGAAAGAAAAGTATGGAGCAGAGAAGAATAGGGAGATATGAAGTGTGTAGGTTGAGGAAGATTCGAAGGTATCTCCTCTGGGATTGGAGAGAAGGAGAAAAACTGGGACCGACAAGAGGAGGAGGAGGAGGAGGAAGAAGAAGAAGATAACAAAAGATTGTGAGGCCACGTGGGGGATTTTGGAGTTTGGACCACACATTTCTTTCTTGAGGAAACGCTCAAAGCTACTTTGCTTGATTGTTGGGACTCTTTGGAAGGCTTCTACTAGTTTAGAATCTTCAATTTGGTTTACCCAATGATTTTTTAAAATCAACTCTGAAAATTTTGGAGGACGAGGAAGGAGAGAGAGGCGTCTGGATCTGTGAAAACTCAAATACTTTCGTCTTTTCTTTCTCAATTTAGCCGCCAGCTTTTGATTAATTTAGCCTCCAAATTTATTGAACCAAAGAATTTTATTCCACTCTGATAACTGTGGATTGGAAAGGTAAAAGAAATATATTTGCTAACTTCCACAAATATTTTACAGTATGATCAAATTTTAAAGTCCATATCTGTATCTATTTGAAAAATATTTTGTATATATTATAAAATTTTATAAAAAAATATTGATATTTTATCTGTATAAAAATTTACAATTTTATTGACAATATATTTTTATTTTATTATAAAAAAATTATTTCTCATATAATTATACATGTGTCGAACCAAGTTAAATTTTGTGTATATTTTAAAAATTTATTTTCTCAAACAAATGATCTCGTATTCTAACACCTCAATCAAACATAGGCTAAACTACGAAGCAAAAAAGAACCATAAACAATGTTTATATGGAAGACCTTTACCTAACTGCCTCTAAACTACCTACAAAAATGAAAAGGCAAAACTGGGAATGGAGATGAATTACAAATTCTCCAAGGGCTAAGACAGAGAGATCTGGATATCATCACTAATACTGCAGATGGACAAGCAGAAACAGCTTCTCATTTCTGATCAAACATTTTCTGATTTACATGCACTGCATCTAGTTAGCTCTCTAGACCAAGCAGGAAAAGGAAAACACTGTATATTGATTTCTAAATTCACGAAAAGGCCAGCAAGTTTAATATATAAATCTATTTCCAACCCATCAATATCTTCCTAACACCCTCTTCAATCTTGCTCCTTGGAACTGGATTACTGTCTGCTTCATCCAGTAGGATTCTATAGACCTCCCATTCTCTGTCATTGATCAAATGTCTTCCAATCTCCACCTGAAAACATCAAAAACATGATAAACCCACTAGGCAGTTTTGCGCTAGGTTTGTTTATGATACTCTGAGAAGGTATTGAAGTTCGGTACCGAAAAGATACGGGTGGTGAGATTCTTGAGAGCAAGGGTGATATCGTAAAAAACAAGAGGACGACCTCTGCCAGACAATTCAACTGGATTTGCCACAAGTAGCTCAGTATCAGGGCCCCGGCTCACCACGGCTACTCTAATAGGACGCCAAAGCTCCATCTTAAGTCGAGAGCACAATGCAGTTTGCTTGTTAGGGTCTACAATCTTCTTCCCATCTGCTTGCATAATGAACAAGTCCAGCTCACAGTTTCCTTTGGGGTTTGCAAAGAATCGTCCATAAGAAATCTGAGGTGTCGTAAAAATTTAACCCATCATTTCTTGAAAATCTGGAATTGTCTAAAAACATCCACAAGGAGGTGTTTTTTAAGTCAATGGAAGATAAACCTTGACTTTTGATTGAGTGATTATCATAGAAACTCATGTGGAATTCCCCAAATCAGGACAACCAAAATTACTATAAGGGAAGACTATATTACTCCATATAAACAATTTCTCATGTAAAAATATATTGGCAGAGCTACTATACCTGTATGCCATAATCCTTTAGGGTTCTCATGATGTCATAAATGAGACCTTTGTGATCCTGACAGAGGATTTGAATGAGTGTATGCGAGGGGCTAAGGGCATTGTCCACTGTTATCGATATGGGATTGAAAGGAAGAACTCCACTTGGATGTCCGCGGGGTAACTCTAAATTGAACATGCCTTCTGGGATTGCCGGAGGAAGAAATGCGGTCCCTTGTGAACATGCAGTAACTTCTGGGCCAGCCAATTCAATCTCACAACTTATCAAGATATCCCCTAACTTATTTCTTAAGTGAAGAACTGTTTCCTCCTGTCTCTTTTTTGTGTGAAGTTGTTCCCTGAAAAATGGTACATAATTTTATTAATTAAATAAAATTATGAATATCTCCACGGAAAACCATCTCCTTCTGCCTCGAGCAGGAGCATCCAAGGGTAAGTCAACCAATATGCTTACTGATCACAGGAGCACCAGAGGTGCTTCACAGATTGCAGTTATTTAAGTTAACTAATTGTACTCGGAAGAGCCTAAAGCCAAATACTAAATTAGTTTGAGCATGAAATAAAAGTTAGTAAATTAATGTCTTAATGCTTCAACGTTAATTTGTATTAAAATTTTTTAAGATTAAAAAACCATGGAGCTCAAAGCGATCATGATTATTGGCAGGCTGTATAGATATTAAGACAACATAATTATTGTATTATTCTGAAATCTATTATCTATCTGTTTAACGGGGAAGAAAATTATTAGCAAAACCTCCGGTGTTCTCGAATTACAAGCATTCAATTTC